CGCAACTTGTTTTGCAAAACTCTGACGGCCACGGTTCCCGATTGGAGCTTGGCAGTGCATCTCTACGGCCCCACCGGCGCGCGCACGTTTGCGCGCAGAGCGGCCAGCTGGTTTCTGACGCAATTGATGCGGCCGCTGTGGCGCTCACCGATGGGAATTTCCCAGCGCGTCTTAAAGGCTGCAGTGGTGCGCGGGCACTTCAGTGCGGGTCGGTGATCCGGGCGGGCGCGATATCATGATGACGTCGACAAAGGCGGCAACGATGATGTTCATAGCGATGGTGGTGGTGATGATGACGACGACGCGGATGTTGGTGACGACGATGACGATCATGATGTCTACATGTCGGTGGTGAAGACGATTGTGATGATGATGGCGGCAATGGCGGCGTTTGGCGATGACGACAAAGGTGGTGATGCGATTGCGCTAACTGGGGTGGTAGCAAGCACGCGCCCGCCGAAATTCAGCAGAGTCGGCAGACCTTGTTTGAAAAACAGATGGGGGATCATGCGTTGTTGAAGAGCTCCATCTTAAAGTGGTTCGGAAGCCATTGGTGTTGGACGGATCTTGAAACGCGCGCGCTACGGCGCGCGCGTGTGGCTGGCATGGCACGACGACTTCGAGACGGATTCGTGCAGCGGGCGCTTGTTGGATCAACGCAGATGCACCGCGTGGGGAGATGGGAGTGCGGGATCAGGACGAGATTGCTAAAGCCGGATGGTCCTCTTATGATTGCAGCAGTTGCGCGCGAGCAGAAATTCTGCAAAACTGGCATTGGAAACCATTCATGTTCAATGCGCTTACATTGAAGTTTTTGCAGCACCGATATGGTAGGTGTGATTTCGACGTGCGCGCGCGTGTGGACGTTGTGGCATGCTACTGCAAACGGTTCTTAGAAACACGATTTTTCTATATAAACGAAGGCGCGCGCATGGTATTGCTTGACAAGGATGCTGGAGGGTCGACATCGGTTTGGTTGGAGTGGTGTGAACTGACACGGAAATGAAAGCTGATGCACAACCACGTGTAAATTACAGCACCCTGGGGTGGACGGTAAATTCCAGGGGGGAAATTGTAGAGCCGGCTCTTGCTTAGAAATGAGAGCCGCCGTGCTGCAAGATGTGTGCTGCAAGCCGTGTGGCGAGGGCTACGTGGTGCAGGCAAAGTGGTGCCGTCATGTGCCGTCAATGCGGTGGGAGGTGTGTGGGCGAGGAGCGGGCTTCGTCCTTGATTTACGGAGCGAGGAGTGGGCGGCACGACCTGGTTAGGACCGCCCGGCGTGCGTCCACACATCTCCTGACCGCTGTGGCAGATGCACCAAAGAAAAAATGTGGTGGGAGGTATGTGGTGAACATCGTGTGCCTCATCGCTCGGACGGTTGCATTTTTCCCTCGGCGAGGAGCATCGAGGAGCATCCTTGATCATTTGGCGAAAAAGCCACGCACGAAACCGAAAAAAAAACACAGGGAATGGACGTCCGAGCGATGGCCAGGTGCTGCAGGCCGCGTGGTGCGGCCGCGGGCGGCCACCGGGCGAGAAACCCTGGCACGCCCACCCGGCACACGGGGTGGCCCCGGGGCGGCCCGCGGGCGGGCACTGGGCGAGAAACCCGAGCACGCCCACCGGAGCGCACGGGGCGGCCAAGGAGGCGGCCACGGGCGTCCGCCAGCCGCGCACCGGGCTTGGCATCGCTCGGGCGTGTGCATTCTTTCCCGGCGAGAGCCATCAACCAAGGCGCAGTTGGAAGTCTTGCAGAGGATTTGTAAAGGCCTTCCTCCAGCCAAGACTGTCGCATCTTGGGCTGATGCTTAAAATGTTCCTCCCTAGCGGCCAGTCCCTGGCAGGAATCTGCCCTTGGAGCCTAGGTGTTAGCGGTGCACTGTAGAAAACGCGGCGAGAACCATCGAGGACCATCCTGGACCATCGAGCAAAAAGAGCACGCACGAAACCGAAACATGCACGGGAAATGGACGTCCGAGTGACGGCAAGCCAGGCAAAACCCCAGCACACCCACCTCATCATTGAGAAGAGAAGTCAGAACTCATAGGTGCAAACAGTGCTTGGGGAGAGCGTTGACACGCAGTGGCGTCTCTCGGGGGGGACCAGATGGCGACTTCTGCTTCCCTGTCTAGTGACTGTTACCGTGTGACGTCGGGCAGATCAAAACAACAAACAGCATATGTTTGTGTGGTGTTCTTTATCAGTCATTTGAAGACATTTCAGGGGCACCAACACAGCACGGTAGCCACCGAGGAGCACACAAACAGTGACGTGCCATGGTTTGTTCGAAGAGATGAAAGAAAAGGAGGTTGAGGAGGCGGCAGAGGAGGAGCAGGAAGAAGCGGAGGAGGAGAAGGAGGGAAGGAGGAGGATGGAATTTTTTGTCTGGGGTGAATTAAGAGGCCGCAGCCTCTCTAGCTCAAATTCTAGATCGTCAGGTTGTATGGGCGTGATGACTGTTCGTTGCCAAGATGCGGGTGCTTCCCCACCCCATCCCCAGCCAAGGGGATTGAAGTGGCCAGGGCCTGGGCAGGTTGAAGAGGAGGCTGCATGGAGGGAAGGGAGGAGTGGAAGGTGAGGACATGGTGGATGGAGAGGAGGTTGAAGGGAAGCGTGGACGGGGGGAAGAAAGAGGCAGGCACAGCACGGTGGGGGCGTTGGTTTAGGAATGTGCCCAGGGGGCTTCAGACCCTGGAGGATTCCTTACCTGATGAGGTCGGCAGTAATATCCATGGGCGATCCACGGTTGGGTTTCCACTAGCTTCCAGACCCTGTGTTCTTTATCCAATGGTTCCTTATCCAATGCCTTCACCGTAGAGGATGGATGGGGTTGAAGAGAGCGAGGAGAGAGAAGAGACAGGCTAGACACTGTCGCGTCATATCTGACATCCTCCCCTTGCCGCCCATCCATGTACACTTTCTTGGACACTCCTCTCGTCGCCGAGCGGAGTGCCTCAGAAGACCTTGATCCCCAGAATGGTAGTTGCAAAACTTGGCACATGGTTTGCTGTACAATCGGCGACGGTTTTTTGCTCTGCATTCGAAGGGGAGAAAATCGAGGAGGGGGGCGGGGGAGGTGGGAGGGGGAGGCGGACGGAGGGGGGACGGCTATGACGAGGAAGGAATCGACTCCAAAGGTAATCGCATCCAGAATTGTGACCTGCGCTAGGGGGAGAACACCATTCCGAATGACGGAAGAAAGTAGTCACCGATCATGAAAAGTTACGAAATATTGCGTTGCCAGTTCTAGTAGCGGAATGCATTCTTGAAGAAACGTTTGAAAAGCCAGCGATTGAAATCGTGTGTATGTGTGATAACCAACGTGCGGGATAAGCGCATTCATCATTAGTAATTGCTGAGCGGGGACGGGAGCAGCGGGGGAGCGGAGAGGATCTGAGAATCCCGTGGGTCTTCCGAGGTTCGGACCGGTGCTTGGGGAGGCCTGGGTTGGTGCTATCGGCGGGGGCGGAAAAGAGGGGGGTAATGACTAGGGGGGGGTGGATATCATGGCGGGGGTCATGATATTTTCCCAGATTTCATGGCGCCACTTCTTGTTTCATTACGTCCCTGGCCCCCCCGCTGGGCCGCGCACATGCCGCCGGTCATGATTTGCACCCCCCCCTCTTGGACACCCCCCTCTTGGCCGCTCCCGATATCGGCGACGCTTGACCTATCTCAGTTGCCTGTCCGGAACCCATCCAAATTCGGACGCTTCGCTAACCCCCACTAACCCATCCAGAGACGATACCCAGGCGAGCTGTCGTGGGGAAGGAAGTAGAGAAGCATAAAGTGAAACAACGAGGCCCACAACGGTGAGTTTGAAGCCCTTTGGATCAATCTGAGAGCTCTCTTGGGGCCCGTTTCCGAAGCCTTCGAGGCGCTCTTCAGGCTCTCTTGAAGCCCTCTCGTGAGTTTGGGGCCATCCTGGAGGCCATCCAGTAGAAGTAAAGGCGGCACCAATTTTGGTTTCCCCTTTCGGAGCCCGAAAACTCCTCTCTTGGAACCCGCTTGGGATGACGCTTTATGGATCGCTCTTGGGGCCATCCTGGAGCCTTAGTGGGCCCCTTTTGAGGTTCTCTTGGGTGATCTTCGAGACATCTCGAGACATTAAGCCCTTCTGAAGCGAAAAGACGAGAAGCCCAAACTTATCGAAGAACTGTAGTTTCTCGGGATATCTTTTGGAGGGTCCGTGCCCACTTGGAGCCGTTTGGGGGCAGTCTTGGAGCCTTTGGGAGACATGCTGGAGACCAGCTTAGCCACCTTAGGCTATGTTGCCATCTTTGGTCCACGGAGGACCCTCTGACAAGACAGCCTCCAGGTTGCCCCAAGGCGGCCCCAAGATTGCCCAAAGAGGGCACCCAAGAGGCAAATATCCATGACTTTTCATTTGTACTTCAATTCTGCCATACTCGCCTTCTCTGGCATCGTCGCCTTCTCGGCATCAGGGCGTCCACAACGGCCTCAGAGCCTCCAAGATCGCCCCAAGACAGCCCAGGGGAGCCCCAAGACGGCCCAAGACGGCCCCGAGATCCCCTCCACAAGATTGCCCAAAAGGCCACCAGGAGCTCTCCAAATCGTGACAAGGTCGTTGTAGACAACTGTGGTTGACACCCAAATGGCCCCGAGAGGCCTCAACGATGCTCGCAGGAGGCCCCAAGAGGCCGTCGAGAAGCCCTTAGGTGGCCCCAAGAGGCCCTCAGGAGGCTTCGCTTGTCCGGGGGGGGGTCTTTTCGTCGCGTGGGGTCGAGAGAAGGGCAAACCCCTCTCGAAGGGGAAGAAGTGGGCTGGAAGAGAGAATTCGCGAAAGTACTTACGCTCAGACGGTCGGTGGAATACTCTGTTCCCCTTGCGGAGCTCTTGACCGTGTAGGGGGGTGTTTGGTTTCGTCGCGGCATCGTGTTCGGCCCCTTGATTCTTTGCCCAATATGGGTGTTCGGTAGCGCTGGGCTTGCGGTTGGAGCAATCCGGAGCCAGCCCCATGGCAGCCTCGCCCGCGAAAGGTGAAGCATGCAATTTTCGAGGCTTGCGACAACACGCCGCTCGTGCTCATCCACCTCCACTTCGTAGAGCCGATTATGCTTGGGAAGAAGAAGGCGCAGGATGTCCAATTCTACGCTGAAGCTGTCCAGATGACAGAGGACCTCTCCCAAGCCCGCGGCGGAAGCCATTACGATCCGGACGAGATACTTGAGGAGCAGCGAGAACGGGAGATGAGGGAGCGATTGAATAAGATGTTCCACGATTTCGTGAAAAAGGTGGAGGCTATCCAAACTTGCAACCTGGAGTTTGACATCCCCGTCAGGGAGCTTGCTTTCGAGGGCGTACCGAACAAGAGCGTCATCACATTGTGCCCATGCAAAACGGTTCTAAGTGCGCTGCAAGATTGGCCGCCATTTATTCTCGATCTGTCTGAAATTGACGTTGTTGTGTTCGAGCGGGCCATGGCTCAGCTGCGCGAGTTCGACATGGTCTTCGTGAAGAAGGACTACGAGCAGTCCCCTATCCGAATCACAACCATTCCCACGAATTCCCTCAAAGATATCAAGCCGTGGCTCCATGACATGAAGATGATCTACGAGGCTTGTGCCACTCCTCGTCGACTCGTCGTCTTCCTATCGCAGTGTCCCCCATCCTAAGCCCTGCTACGTGTGCACTCGCAGTTCGCGAATTATTCGAGTACGTGTTGGTAGTGGCCGTGCGACGTATAGCGCTGTTCAGTTTGAATCCAGGCCACCAGCACTTGTTATTTTCGATGCGTGCTGCGAGTGGGAACGAGGGGCGCGGCTCAAGAGTACGCCGGACCCAAACTTGAAGTTACGCCATGCGTGTGTCAGTGGCTGTTGCGCAGGAAGTCGAGCCTTGTGCTAACTGTGCTACTACTCCATCCGCTCTAATTACCGGTCTCTTCGCTATACAGCTCGCGGTGCTAAATAGGAATGGGTAATGCAGGCCCTGGGTCAGCCCTACCCACACGTGAAGTTCAATATCACAGTTGGCACGAGTCAGCAGCAAACATTATGCGATATGCTCACACTCGGTGGTAGAAATCTCGCTCGATCTGCTAAATCCTAAGAGATTCGAGACCTTCAGTCCCAGGGCAAGGGATTAGAAATTCCCTTACCCCAGTCCCCAGGGCCACACATTCGTGATGATTTAGACAAACAAGAGGAGGAGAAGGCGGGGACGGAGGAGGAGGAAGAGGAGGAGGAGCAGGAGGACGAGGAGATGAATGAGGAAAAAGAAGAGGTGGCGGAGGAGAAGGAAGAGGAGGAGGAGCAGGAGGACGAGGAGGAGGAGGAGGAGGGGGTGAGGAGGAGGAGGGAGGAGAAGAGGAAGAGGAAGGAGGAGAAGGGGGGAGAAGGGGGGAGATGGAGGAGGTGGAGCGCTCCAGCCCTGGCCCCCATCCCCCGCGCGGCCCTCGGAGACTCGGCCAGCCGGTGGGATGAGCCAGGCCCAGCACGTCGGTCTGCACAGCCGGGGAGGGCCACAGGCAAACTCGGACCTCGGGCGCCTTGAGACGAGCAGGACGGCCAGCCCTGCCGAGTCTAGGCTAGCAGGGGGGGCTGTTTGAGGCCCAGGGTCCACGAGCGAAGCAGAGCAAAGAGCACGGCGCAATAGTCAGTGCGAACGTCTGGGCTGAGAGGGTTGGAGCCCCTCGTCTTGGCAAAAGCCAGGGCATGTCGGATATTCGGGGCAGATGGGGGAAGCGAGAAAGAGAGAGAGAGAGAGAGAACAACAACAACAACAACAACAACAACAACAACAACAACAACAACAGCAACAACAACAACAACAACAACAACAACAACAACAACAACAACAACAACAACAACGGCAACGACAACGACAACGACAACGACAACGACAACAACAACAACAACAACAACAACAACAACAACAACAACAACAACAGCAGCAACAGCAGCAACAACAGCAACAACAGCAGCAACAACAACAACAATCATTTTAAGACTGATCGTTCGTACTTGCCCGCGTGCCATGCAACGTGTATACCCACGCCCTCGATACCCGCCCCCTTCGTCTTCGAGCGCACCCCCTTCTGGGGGGATTCTTTCTTTTTGCGGGGGCGGGCGGGCTTAGACAAGCGGGCGTGAACGGGCGGGGAATTATTCGGAGGATGGGGCACGCATCTCTTTGCCCACCATTGGAATTAGCGCGGGCCCTGCAAGAAGAGGAAGGGGGAGAACGAGGGAGAGTGGGAGGAAGGGAGGGGGAGGGACGAGGCTAAAGGGGAACACGCCAGGAGAGAGGGGGCGAGGAGGGGGGGGGGACGATTGGAGATAGAGAGACAGAGGAGGGAGGAAGAAGGAGGCTGGAGAGGGGAGGGCGAAGAGAGGAGGGAGGAGGGTTATGGGAGGAGGGCGAGGGGAGAGAGGAAGAGGGAGGAGGAGGGTGGATATGAGGGAGAGGGGAGGGAGGAGGGAGGTTGGATGGGGAGGAAGGGGCAGGAGGGTAAGAGTGTGAACGTTCGAGGAAGTCCTAGGCGAGGGCGTATTCCTCAAGGAAAAGTTGGGCGGGAGCGGGGGTCCCGAGTACATTGTCGGACGTCTCAGGCGGGAGCGCCGGTCGCGCGGGCGGACCCTGACGGGCGGGTCGGGCGGGCGGGACACTCAAACGGGATTTTTGCGTAAATTGCGAGGAAGTATTAAGCGAGAGCGCGATTCCTAAGTAAATTGCGAGGGCGTCCTTGGCGCGAGCGTGGTTCCTGAGCGTCGAGAACGCGATGCTGCAATAAATTGTGAGGCAGTCCTAAGCGAGAGCGCCATTCCTGAGTAAGTAATGAGAAAGTCTCGGGCGGGAGCAGGGGTCCTGATTAGGGAAGTCTCAAGCGGGAGCGCCGTTTCTGAGTAAAACGAGAGAAAGTCTGAAGCGGGAGCGCCCTTCCGGAGTAAATTTTGAGGAAGTCTCAGGCGGGGGCGGGGGTCCTGAGTAAATTGTGAGGAAGTCTCAAGCGGGAGCCGTTGTTGTTGTAGTCCGGGGCCTAACAACGCAATCTGATCCGCAAGGCTTTCCCTGTCAAAAAACAGGGTGCGAGCCCCGGAGGAAGCACTTCAATTGAAAAAAACAATGGGCACCGGACAGGGGGGATCAACAATAATTATTCTTCAGAAATGAGAGTTCAACAACCACAACCACAACCACAACCACAACCACAACCACAACAACAACAACAACAACAACAACAACAACAACAACAACAACAATAACAACAACAAGAACAACAATAACAACAACAACAAAACACGGGTGCGCGAATCCGCGCCCCAGAGGAGGCAGAAGCCCCCGACCAACAGGGCAGGCCCTCTCCCCCCCCTACTGCTGGGATCGGCTAGGGCCAGCTTTCCAGCGGGCGGCAGAGCCCTGGCCCAGAGGTTCCACACTTCGGGTGCTGCCAGGGGTGCCAAACACACAGACACACTCAAACGTCGGTTTCCATGAAAATATCAGACCATATGGAGTTTGGGGGGAAGGCGAAAGCCCATAACATGTGGGAAAAGATTGGGAATCCTCCTGGGCCGAAGCTGTCCCCAGGCGGCCTCTGGAGCACCACCCACGAGACCCCGAGCGCCCAAGGGGCTCCAGAGTGGCGCGAAGAGTGGCGGGCCCCTTGGGCCAGGACCACTTCCAGAAATCCGCGAACACCTGCTCCCGCCGCTGTTTCCCCGGTGGATGAGGAGTAGGATGAGGAGGAGGAGGAGGAGGAGGAGGAGGAGGAGGAGGAGGGGAAGGGGGAGGCGGAGGAGGAGGAGGAGGAGGAAGAGGAGGAGGAAGAGGAAGAGGAAGAGGGAGGAGGAGGAGGAGGAGGAGGAGGAGGAGGAAGAGGAGGAGGAGCGGCTCTGGCCGCGGTTTCCCCCTCGCTTCGCATCGCGCGGGGTGCTTTGCCCCCCTGGGAGCGGGGCGGGCGGGCCTGGTACTCCTGCGCCATGAACATGCAGTGGCCCCTCGTGATGAAGGAGATCACCAAGGACACGGGCAGGTTCGTGGAGGACGGAGGCTGGGACGCCTGGTTTCCTGAAGACGGGAGCGGCGAGAGCGGCTCCGAAGCCGCAGGGAAGGAGGTCGGCAGCGAGGAGAGCGACTGGAAGGACAGCGAGGAGGACGACGAGAGCGACGAGGGTGCGGGCGGCGAAGACGACAGCGACTTCGACGCGGAAGACGACGACGTCGAGTCCGAGCCCCCGAGCGACGATGGCTCCGGCGTCAGCTGGGACGAGCTCGAGCGCGAGGCTCGGTTGACTGAAAGTTCGGGTTTGGGGCTGGCGTGGGGCTGCGTGTGTCCGGGGTGTGCCACCCAGGACGTCAGGAGGAGCGGGTGGAGGTGACAGAGGCGTCCCCGGAGACCTCTCGGCGAGATGTGGCTGACAGTAGGGGTCTCGAGGCCACAGCCCCAAGACGAAGTCGTGGCACTTCGGATTCACACAGGCCCCCCAGATATCCGACGTCGTGACTTTTAAATATCGTGGCTCCCCGGAGGTCTGGACCCCTTCCTGGGTGTTGGCTTTGCGTCCTGAGTCGGTTCTGATGGTCCTGGGCCCCAGTAAGGGCCCCCCGGAGTCCGAACACAGCAACAAATCCCGCCATGTTTTTTGCACGACGCGAGGATGCCACGGCCCTGCGATCGTTACCACCAGTGCTTCTGCCAGCCACGAGGCCGAGAGGGCCGACCGGCAGGGGGACATCGAGAGAAGCGGCGCCGGCAGGGCCGCAGCGGCCGCTCCGCCCCCCCGGAAGCGCGCCCGCAGGTAGCAGCAGTAGGCTCGCCTGCGCTGGTAGGTCGGAGCTCCGTAGGTGTAGGGCTCCCAGATGAGGATAGGCTTCTCGAGACCCGAAGGGCATAGCCTGTTTCCCCATCCAGCGGGGTGAGTCGGCAAGTGGGGCCCAGGCCACGCCAGTGGGGATAGGGATCGGTTGAACGATGCTTCAGGTCTCTAGGCCTCCTGTGGTCGGAGTAGATGGGGCAGATTTCGCACCTCCTCCGCCTCAAGCCAACTCCAGATGCCCCATAGATGGGGCTGGAGTAGGCGGGATCGGAGGATCGCGCCGCATCGCCGATGCGTTCGCAGTGCGTCTTGATGTGGAGCCCGATGTTCTGCACGCTGGCGTGGCCGATGCACCGCGGACGTCGCCGATGCATCGCCGATGCATCGGCGATGCGGCGAGATCCTCGATCCCCCTTTGGGAGGCCTCTAGTGGAGGGGCAGCAGCCAACAAAAAAAGGCCACATCGTAAACGTCCAACTTGGCCTCCTGACGACGCCCCTGAATACCAACATTCTCTCGCTAACAAGTTGAACGTGTTATTGCTCCAGTCTCGACTCCAACTCAAGTGCGAGGACATCGAGGCCGCCATCGCCGACGCGCTATGGGGGCAGCAACCACCAGAGCAGCCGTGCACGCGCAACACACAACAGATGACACCGACCAACACAATAAGACGACTACTTCAAGAAAGACGAGACACATGAACGACCGACACAACAGCACGAGCACAAACCAACAAGACCATCCGCAAAGATATCAGGGCAGTCAATCGTGCCACCCGCAGAGCCGCCATCGATCGAATCCTCACTCAATACCGGGACCTCGAGCGAATCATCGGGATCAAGAGTAACAAGA